CCCCCCCCCCACGCACCGCCAGCAAACGACTCCCGGTCCCTACCACCGCTCGCATCACATCCCCCACTGTTGTTCCCAGCACCACTGTCCTCACCACCACTGTCCCCGCTGGTTCCACCACCGTCCCTATTGTCCCCACCAGTGCCCCCACCACTGTCGCACTGTCCCCACTGTTCCCACAACTGTTCCCACCACGGTTCCACTCTCCCCACTGTCTCCACGGACCCAACCACTGCCTATCCCCACTGTCCCCACTGTCCCTCTGACTCCTCCGCTGTCCCACTGAGCTGTCCCACTGTTCCCACCACTGTCCCCACTGTCCCCACCACTGTCCCCACTGCACCTCTGTCCCATTGTCCCACCGCCGTCCTCGCCACCGCCTTTACCAGTGTCCCCACCACCATTGTACCCTCCACTGTCCCAGTGTTTCCACCTCATTCCCACTGTCCCCACACCACTGTCCCCACCACCACCGTTCCCACCACTGTCCACTGTCCCCCCTGTTCCCACCATTGTCCCCACCACTGTCCCCACCACTACCGTCCCCACTGTCCCACTGTCCCACTGTCCCCACCACTGTCCCGCTGTCCCCTCACCACTGTCCCCACCAACACCGTCCCCACCACTGTCCGCACCCCCACTCGGTTTTCGAGGGGGGGGGGGGGGGGTTCGAACCGGTAGTGACCCCCCCCCTTTTCATGATGAACTGGGGGGGGGGGGGAGGGGTTCGAACCGGTAGTGACCCCCCCCGGGTTTTCTGGAGGGGGGGGGGGGGGAGGGGTTCGAACCGGTAGTGACCCCCCCCGTTTTCCGCCAGCAGCGGTAGAACACGCTCTTTCACAAAAGACGACCCCCTGCCGACCTACCCCGCCGTTTTCTCGCACGAGCCGCCAACATTCCTGCCAGGCCTCTTTGTTGTGGGTCGCTTCAGCTCTGGCGGCCCACTCAGGGCCCCTCGCGAAGCCGTCGAGCACGGACTGGCAGTCGCTGAAGATCCGCACAGGCGGGACGGCCCGCCGCAAGACCTGGAGGACCGCCATCAACTCGCTCTTGTAGATCGACTGGTCGTGCTGCGGCCCCTCCAACGGCCTGAACATGGCGTACCCCACCTGGTGCTCATTGTCGAGCTTCACGAAGGACCAACCGCCTCTTCTCAATGCTGGGTATGCCCCGTACAGCAAGCTGCCATCCGTGTAGATGTCGCCGTGCACGAGGCCGTCAAAGGCGCCCTCCACCTCGCTGGTGGACGAGGAGGGCAAGTTCCAAAGGTCGTACTCCAGCGCTGGGTCCGCTGCGAGCCCTCTCCCCCAGAGCGCTTCGGAGGCCGCCAGCTGCTTCTCCGTCGCCCCAGGCCACGTCATGGCACCACGATGGCATATGTGGTGCCCTCCCACTCTCCGTCGGTGTTCCTGCCTGGCCGAGCACGCGAACGTCCTGTGGCGGTCCGCCCCCTCGCGCTCGTGGCAGGCCTTGCAGGCGCTGTCCTCCGCGGCGCCCTTGTCGAAGAGCCGTCGCTGCGCACAGGTTGCGCACCCGCGTCTGGTGCTCCAGCGCCCACTGCTTGCTCAGCAGCCTCTTGAGCAGCGCGGCGACGGGCTCCACGAGGAGGCTGTCCAGGCCGTGCTTCTCGCCGTGGATGCGCAGCCAGTCGCTCTTGAGGCCGTTCTCCGTGGCCGTGCTGACGCGCTGCTTCAGGTATCTGAGCGGCAGCGTCCTGAGGCCCAGGTGCCCCTCGCCGATGGCGACGCTGTGCGCCGCGAGCGTCTCCCAGCCCAGCCTCTGCACAGTGGCGATGAAGGCCCCTGCGGTCCCTCGCACCTGCTGCCATGGGGCTCTTGCCCGCCCCACTCGTAGCACCCACTTCTTCCACGCACTCTGGAGCTGCGCCTGGAGGCCGTCCTGGTTGGCTACCTCCTGCCACGCCATGGCCCAGTTGACCAACGGCTCCGCGTTGGCGCGGATGGCGGGGTCGGCGCCCTGCGCAAGCAGCGTGAGCGGCGTTGACCTCCCCATGGTGCTGCCCCTGAAGGAGGTCGCCACGCTCTGCCGCAGGGAGGCGAGGGTGGCGTTGGCCATGCCCATGGCCTGCACCCCGTACATCGCCGACGGCGCCTTCCCCTGTCTGCTGATCGCCTGCGCAGGCCCACCTGCGCGGCGCATGCGGGCGATGCGATCTGGCCGCGCCGCGCACTTGCTGGCCCTATTGCTGAAGGCGCTGACGCGTCTTCTCCTGCCTGCCGCGGTGGCGACGCCGAGGTGGTCGGCGTGGCGCACCATCCTGATGCTGAGCGGGCGCACGCGCCTGGCGAGGCCGTCCTGCAACGCGGTGGTCGAGGCCATGGTGACCGCCTTGCCCTCCGCGCCCTTGGAGACCTTCATGTCCAGCTGCTCGAGCATGTCCACGAGCGCCTGCACCAACTGCGTTTGCCAGCACTGCACCAACAGCCTCGCGCCCCGCGTGGCGACCGCCAAGCCGTCGAAAAAGAGGCAGACCGAGGCCCACGGGAAGTTGGCGATGACCCCGTCCAGCATCCCGAAGATAACCATTTTGAGGCAGAGGGGCGCGAGGCGGCTTCCTGCTACGATGCCGCGCGCCCACCTCGACCCCATCCGTGCATGCGTTGCCCAGCACGATGCGCCGCGTCATCGAGTAGATGCGCAACACCATCTTCAGGATCACCGCGTTGAATCCCGAACGCGCGCCTGCCTGCCAGACCTTCTCGCGCGTGACGTACTCGAAGCACTTGACCAGGTCGAAGTACGCGACGGCGTACTCCAGCCCCTGGGCCACCGTGGCCTCGCTGAGCAGCGCCTGCTCCCAGGCGGCCCTCTCGCTGGACCCCCCTCTCGCGGCCCAGTCGTAGCCCCTGCGGTGGCTCTGCTCCCAGCCCCTGGCGCACGGCATGCGGATGGTCCCCCACAGCCTCGCCAGCTCGGGGACCAGCCCGAGGTTGCGGTGCCCGCCCGACGCCTTCGCCAGCAAGTAGAACAGAATGGTGTCCTGCGCCTGCGGCCAGGGCTTGCCCGCCTCCAGGGCGTTGAGGGCGCTGGCCACCCTCGCGGCCCCTTGGATTCCCCCTTCGCGCCTGAGTCTCGGGCGCCACCCCGACCCCCCTAGCCCCGTCTTGGTCTTGAAGCGGCCGCAGGCCTCGATCACCTGCTGCGGGGTGATGGGCGGCGGCTTTGCCTCGGCCCACTCCCCCCCGCGGGCGGCTGGAGCCGCGGCGCCCTCGGCTCGAGCGGGTCGTTCCAGATGTCATCCCACCCCTGCCGCGCGGCGTTGGCGGCCTTCTGGGGGCGCGTGAGCTCGTGCATCTGGTCGCTGTCGGCTCCAGCCGGTCGCTGCCGGCTCCAGCCGGCGCGGGGGCCTTGGTCCACTTGTGCAGCGCTCCTGCCCCTCGTTCTCCGCGCGTGGTCACCCACTGCCGCCACTGCGCCGCGGCCGCTCGGCGCACCATCTTCCAGTGCCTCCTGCTGCCGAGGTCCAGAAGCGCGGCGATGAAGCCCAGGCAGTTCTGGGCGCGCTCGTCGACGTCGCTGACGCGCCAGTCCCGCAGCGCGTGCACGATGAGCGGCCAGCGAATCGTGTTCCAGGTGTTGGGGTCCTGCTGGCCCTCGGTGGGAGGCGCTCCGACCGCGCGGCGGCCCTGCGCCCCTTCCGCCCCCTCCCGAGGGGCGCCCTCCGACTCCAGCAGTCCGTCTTCCTCGCCCGAGTCGTTGCCTGTCTCGGCCGTCTGTCCAGGGGCCCGCTCGGCGAACAGCGGCAGGGCGATGTCGTGGCCGAGGAGCCCGTCCGCGATGCGCTGGGCTCGCCGTAGTGCGCCCGCGTCTCGCCGCCGCTGCCATGCGCTGGCCAGAAGCCTCAGCTGGCGCAGCCGCCGCGCAAGCCACCCGGCTGCATCGGCCCACTGCTGCTGCTCCAAGGCCGCGGTGCAGGGCTTGGGCCTGCGCGGCTTCTGCTTGTAGTTGGCATTCTCGAAGTGGCCCTGCCGCTTGCTCCAGTCGTCGCCCTCGAAGCTGTGGTACCTGTTCAGGTGCTTCTCGTAGGCCTCCCCGATCTCGCTCCAACAGCCGTCGACCTGGCTATGCGTGTACTTCCTGTGTGCTAGCGGCTTCGGCCATCGCACTGGCTGCGATGGGCAGCCCGTTGGCCGCGCCAGCGGCCACGGCGTCCGCGTGCACAGCACGTTGATCAAGATGTCGCTCTGGTAGTGCACTGGCACCTTCATCTTGACGGGCAAGTGCGGCGACGTGCTGTACCCTGCTTGGACCTCTGCCTTGAGCAGCCTTGAGCGTAGGTGCGACCAGGCCGCGCGAGACGATGAAGTAGTCGCGCGTGCTCCTCGTGCCGTCCTTCTTCAGGCAGCTGCCCTGCTGAGTGTCGCGCACGATGGCCGCGCTCATCTTGCGGACGATGTCGGCCTGCTCCAGCTTCTCTGGGCCCATGTTGAAGCCGCCCCCGAGGATCCACTCCTTCTGGATCGCGTTCACGGTGGCGCCCCACTTGGCCAGGATGCGCTGGTTCCTCTGCGCGAGGCCCTCGCTGTTCCACAGGTAGGCGGCCCCGAGCACGAGCCCCTCCTTGCCGCAGGCGTCGATCCAGGCCACGGCGAGTCGCCCCTTGGACCCCCGCGGGCTGATGTCCCACTGGTTGATCCCCTTGCGCACGAAGTCCATGCCCCTGCTTCGTGGCGTCGCTATCAAAACTCCAGCGCTGTGACCAGCTGTGGTCTTCGCGCTGCTCACCACCCCGATGTGCCAGCCCTCCCTGCGCATGCGGGTCTGGAAGAAGTCGAGCTGCGTGCCGCTGGCCTGCAGCTCCTGGCCAAGGACGATGGCGTCCCTGTCTCTGTTTCCGTCTGCTTCATGACGCGCTCCAGCGACTTCACCGTGTTGGCGTTGACCGTGTACACGGCGAGGCGCGCCTTCGGGCAGCGGCGGTTAGTTCCGCCGCTACCCGCGCTGCTGCACCCACTGCGTCTTGCTGACGGTGAGGGCGCGACCATTCTGCAGCTCGCCCACCAGCAAGTTAAGAGGAGCAACCACCCTCCCAGCCTGGTCAGGCGTGACCCCCGCGCCGACGAGGGCCCTGCAGATGTCGTGCTCGTTGGCGCCCGCGGGGGGTTCGAGGAAGTCCTCCTTGGGTGGGCCCTCGGGGCAGCTCCGCTTGCGGTTGTCGGCGTTGCCTGCCCGTTCCTTGGTCGCGCGGGCCTGTTCCGCCCTGGCCTTCTTGTGGCGCTCGGCGTGCTTGGCCCGCTTTTCCTCCTGTGCCTTCTGCTCCTTGGCGTGGGCGACGGCGGCGGCGAGCTGCTCCCGTTTCTCGCTCCCGTCGTCGTCGAAGCACCGCTCGGCCTGCTCAAGGAAGGCGAGCGTTGCTGCCCATCCTTCCCCTGGAGCAGGGACGGCCAACTCCTTGATCTTCTTGTCCAAGGTCTCGAGCTTGTTGTCGAACTTGCCCAGCTTACTGCGCTCGTCGGCGAGCTTCTCGTCGAGCGCCTCTCTCTGCTCCTGGAGCGCCTCGATCCGTTGCTGGCACTTGTTCTTCTGCTCCGCGACTCTGTTCCTGTCTCGTACCACTCTGCACTCGGCGAAGCAGCGCGGCACTCCTGTCTCCAATGCTGCCTGCTCGGCGGCGAGCTTGTCGTCGAGCTGCGCCACCTGCGGCTGCAGGGACTCCTCCATGAACGGGTCCTCGGCGAGTTTCCTGAGCTCCGCCAGCTTGGCACGGTAGTGCTGCACCTTGGCGAGCTGCTCGTCGTGGCTCTTGTCCTTGGAGGCCTCTCCTGCCGCCGCACTGGAAGCTCCTGCGGCTGCCGCGGTCGGGCGGGCACCCCAGCACTTCCAGCAGTACTTGTATTTCCTCCGTTCATGACGTTGCACGGCTCGCACCGCCACGTCGTGTTGTTGCCGCCATTGCTCTTGTTGGCAACCATCCGTGTCTTGGCTCCGACACTCGTGGCCACTCTGAAGTCTAAGCGTCAGTACACTCGGGGCCTCCTGCAGGCGAAGAAAAGCGCCCGAGTGGAAAATGGCTAAGGAGGAGGGGAGGAGGACGAGGCCCAGGAGGAGGAGGAGGAGGAGAAGGAGGAGGAGAGGGATGGGGAGGAGGAGGAGGAGGAGGAGGAGGAGGACGACGACGAGGAAGAGGAGGAGGAGGCGGAGGAGGCGGAGGAGGAAGAGGAGGCGAGGAGGAGGAGGATGAGGAGCAGCAGGGAAGAGAGAGGAGAGGAGGAGGAGGAGGAGGAGGAGGAGGAGGACGACGAGACGAGGAAGAGGAGGAGGAGGCGGAGGAGGCGGAGGAGGAAGAGGGAGGCGAGGAGGAGGAGGATGAGGAGCAGCAGGGAAGAGGAGAGGAGGAGGAGGAGGAGGAGGAGGAGGAGGAGGAGGAGGAGGAGGAGGGAAGAGGAGGAGGAGGAGAGGAGAAGGAGGAGGAGGAGAAGACGAGGAGGAGAGGAGGACGAGGAAAGGAGGAGGAGGAGGACGAGAAGGAGGAGGAGGAGAGGGAGGAGGAGGAGGAGGAGGAGGAGGAGGAGGACAGGAGGAGGAGGAGGAGGAGGAGGAGGAGGAGGAGGAGAGAGGAGGGAGGAGGGAGGAGGGAGCCCGCCCCCCCCCTCCTGGGAAGGCCCTTGGAAGCCCCTTGGGCCCAGATGCGGGCCTCCCTAGCGGGCGGAATCACCACGCACCAGCTCGCCTCGGAACATGGGGGCTGCCTTATAGGAAACCGTCTCGCACTCTCTCCTCGACCTCGCCCTCACGACCGCCGCCAGCCGCCGTTCCAGGCCCGAAGGCTGCATCTTTGAGCTCAGGCGGCGCCGGTCGACAAGAGAACTCGCGCCCGCGGGACTGCTAGGACATCGTATCGGCAGCAGGGCTGACACTTCGATCCGGCTCCTTCGCGCCTCCCCCCGCGTCCTGTCTCGCCCCCCCTCCCCGTCCGCTCGCGCCACCTGCGAACCCACACCCTCCACGCGAACCTTGGCCTGTAGCACCTCGGTCACCGTGCTGAAATCGCGGATGCGCGCGACCCCAATGACACACTGCACCTCCGAGTCAGAGGAACAAGGGGGAGGGGGCAGTCGGAGGGGGGAGCAGGAGGACGGCGGGGAAAGATGGAGAAACGGGAAAAACGGGGGACGGGGGAACGGACGGGGGAGGGGACGGGGAGAACGGGGGTGAGGAATCTGGGGGGGCAAGGGGCTGAGAGGGGAGGGGCAAGCTAGGTGCGCTCACGCCTCATCTGACATCCTATCCCTCCCTCTCAGCATTTCCCATGGCGCTGATGATTCTCTATCCGTGAACGCGTGTCATGGCCGACCTGCGACCCGCACAGAAAGACCACTTCGTGCGATGCACAATCGGAAAAAAGATAGCTGCGTGCAAGGAAAGAGGAGGAGGTGGCGGGTGAGCAGGAGGATGAGCGAGAGGAAAAGGATGAGGACGAACAGCAGCAGCATGAACTAAAGCGGAAGGATCGAAAGGGAAAAGAGGATCAGGGAAGGCAGAGGAGGGTAAATGAGAAGGGTGGCGACGGTGAAAAACGACTCCGATTCAGAAAATTGGCCCGCGCTGGGGCAATACGAACAGCAGCAGCAGGAACTGGAGTGGAAGGAGCGGGCAGAACAGGAAGACCAGGGGAAAGCGGAACGGAAATGATGGAGGGACCACCATGAAGCAATATTCGGATCCAGGGAAGTGGCCCGCGCTGGGACGAGAGCGCCATCCTGAACGACGGGAGCAACGCACCGATCCGAAAATGAGGCACACGCTGCAGCGGGAGAACAATTTGGAAACACAATGACCAAACACACTTGTAGTGCAGAAGCAATATATATATAGCGTTTGAACTCCTACGCTCTATCGCTAACTAATTTGGTTGTATGTTAAACTTACACTGCTTAAACCGAAAAAGCGGGGGGCGGGAGATCATCCAAACAGCTTCCAGGGAGGAAAAAGGGTAGCATTCAGATGGGTTAGTTGTAGAAACGGGCGAGGGGAGGGGCCGAGACAGGAATGGAGAGCGGAAAAAGGGGGAATCTTGGGGGCGAAGAACCTGGAGGGGGAGCGGAAACGGAGAACGCAGAAAGGGAACAAGACAAGGGAGACAGGAGGAGGAGGAGCAGCAGCAGCAGCAGTAAGAGCAGCAGGAGCAGCAGGAGCAGCAGGAGGAGAAACGCGAGAGGGACTGGGATCTCAAGGGAGACGAGTAGGGGAGTGGGGAAGGAGGAGAGAAGGGGGAAAGGGGGCAGCGGGCACTCGCACGGGGGCGGCGAGAAAGACCAAGAGAGAAGGGGAACGAAGAGGGTGACGGAGTAGGAGGGAAGGAGGAGGAGAAGGAGGAGGAGGAGGAAGAGGAGAAGGAAGAGGAGGACGCCGAAGACGACGAGATACGACGAGGACGGGGACGAAAGACGCGGAGTAAACCGACGGCGAAACGCCCCCCCCCTTTTCTTTCCTTACGCATTGCAAGATTGCGAAAAAATGGGGGTCGCCGCACAGGGGGCAGCCGAAGCAGGATCGCACCAATCGACAACGCACTGGCCCGGTTCAATCCAAACCTGGGTCAGTCGGGGTTTGCAGGATCTTCCACCCACGCCAGTGTCAGTGCGCCCCTGGATCTGCAGGATCCTGCAAGATCCAGCGCTCTGACTGACACCCATGTAGAAGTGACCCCCCCCCCCAAACTTTTGAGCACCGAACCAACTGGGCGGGGGACAGGCCCCCTGCCCCCCAGTGCGATTCTGCGAAGCAGGACGTGGCCCGCACGACGCGCGCGTCGCCGATGCGTTGCGCCGCGCGCAAACGCGACTCGCTCGCGACTGCAGCCCCTGCGACGCAGCGCATCCTGTCAATGCTCCGCAGCCGGAGAAGGCGCGGGCGGGCGGGGCAGATACACCGCACTCTTGCTGCGCTCGCCTGCCAACTCGCTCGACCCGCGGGAGGTGGCCGAGATCGCCGCGCGCCCTCCCCAGCGAAATACTGGGCGCGCGCGGCGCCCCCCCGCCCGGCGGTCAACCCAGAAGCGACCGACCGACGGGGGCCCTCTCGTCTCCACGCGCTGCAAGGCAGCGACAAAAGCTCGGGGAGGCGCCGCCGGGGGAAGAGCCGAGCTAGGATATCGCCAGCGGGGGAGGGGCCAAGCCCCCCGCCACAAGAATCGCGGTCGGGCCTGCCCCCGTCTGGCGCGCTCTGGCCCGCAACCTCCCTTGCCCTTGAACCCCCCATCACTATGCCGGGGCGCTGCGTCGGCCCGAAGCAGCACGCCCCCGACGGCGCCTGCCCAAGCGCCCATGCTCCAAGATCCATCGACCCATCCGGCGAGGACGGGGCGGTCTGTGTCCTGGACGCGCCCGCGGTGCAGCGCGCGCAGCAACAATGCTTCCCACCGTGACAGCGCACGCACACCGCGGCCAGACCAGCCTCCGGCACGCCCAGACACGGGCGAGGCGCAGGCGCGGCCTACGCGGCCGAACATCGCCGCGGTGGCGAAGCCCAATGGCCCGCCCAGAGTGGCCGTGTCGCGCACGCTGCGCAGGCGTTGCGCCCCCAGGGCGGCGCCCATGCCGTCGGCCTAAGCGGCGCGGCGCCGGGTGGCGACGCGCGGGCCCGCTCGGCACGGAGCGGAGAAGACGCCCAATCGAGCTAGTCCTGCACTGCCGCCGGACTCCTTCTCATGCCCTGCTTCAGCGGGACGCCGAGCATGGAACACCGCCCCTGGAATACCGACAAGTTGCACGAGGCGCCCCGCGCGGCAGCCGAGGCGCGGTGGAAGTCGCCAGCGCCCGCATTCCGCGGCACGCTGGAAACGCGGCGCACAGGGCGGCCCACGCCGGCGTCGACCGCGCGCCCCCGCGCGGCCTCGAGGCCTCGAAGGACCCGAAAAGCAAGTCCCCTTGCGCGCAGACCCAGAATCCGCCTGCATGCCCAGCGCCGTCGCCCAGGCGCGGCAGACCAGCAGGGGAACGTCGCCGGGGTGCGCCTGCCACTGGCGGCATGCCTGGGCGAGGCCCCCCTCGCGATGAGCGGAGCGCCGCCGTCGCCCCAGGCGCGGAAAGTCTCGGCAACGGACGAAGCGGCGACGAGGAGCAAGGCCAGGACGGCCACGCGCACGCGCCGATGGGCGGCCACGGCCAGGCCGAGGCCGCGCGCCGTCGCGTCGTCGACGGGGCGCACCCGCAAGACGAGGCGCCGCGGTCCTGGGCGCGGGGGGAGCGGCGCGACGGCAGCCACTGGGCGGCGGGCGCCGTGGAGCACACGCGCCCGTCGGCGTCGACTCACACCTCCTGTGGGCCATCCAGCTTGACCGCCGCGCATTCCCCCCTCCTGCGTTACACGGGGCACATCGTTCACGTCCCACTCGCGCCTGGCGCCCTGGGGCGCCCCTAGCAGAGTAGCACCCTTGCTGTCGAGCACGCGATCGAACGAGCGGTCTAGCGCTGCGGCGCCTGGAAGGTCGGCGCCGTCGGCACTCTCAAACACCTGCGCGTCTGGCAAGAAAACCCATGCGGAACCCCGCCACGACGTCGACGACGACGTCGATGTCCTCGCGCCCCGAGGACTGGGGCAGCTCCTGGCGCAGCGGCCTGCGGTGCCAGGGCGGCAGCGCGCCGCGGACGCGGGGGGCCACGCCGCTCGCCAGGCGCGCGCTGCGTCGGCGAGGGGGGCCTGGACGCGCCCCCAAGGGCCCACCTGCCCGGCGAACCATCGCTCGCAGTCGGGGCAGTCGCTCGAGCGGAGCAGCGCGCCGCGGATAAGAGCCGCCAAGTTCGCGGCGGGAGAACCCGCCCACGCGGCCGATGGATGGCCGTCTGCGCGGCCAGATGCCTGGCCGATGCACTGGGCGTGCGCGATGCGCTACTGTTGAGTAGCCACTTCGCCGCGCCCGCGGGGCGCGCCGAAATGCCGCGGCGGCGCGCAAGCCCAGCCTGAGCATCGCGGAGGGGGCGGCACGGACGGCCGCGGCAAAGCCGCACCCGGCGGGGCCCATTCGAGGCGGGGCCCTGTCGGCGCAGGGCGCAAGGGGGGCGCCTGCCGCGACGCCATGTCGACGCGCGCCCGGCGCGGGCTCGGCGGGCCGCCGCGGCTGGCACAGGCCCCTGCCAGCTGGCTGCGATGTTGCGACACGGGAATTGCGCGCTTGCTGGGGGCGCGATGGCATCGTTAGCTTTGCTGTGCTATTTCGGCGGGCGGAGCATGGCCACGTCGGCGGCGGCCCCGGCTGCGTCGGCGCGCTACCGCGGGCGGCTGCGCCGCGCGCCTCTGGCCAGAGGCGCGGCTTCGGGCGCGCCGCCCGCGTCGGCACCCTGCTGAACTTACATCACTTCCCGTTGAATTGGCGTGCCGGCGCCAGGCTTGACCGCATTGCAGGCGCCCGCGACGGATTCCGCGATCCCGGCGCCCACTGTCTCGGCGACAGCGGCGCCGTTCTCGCCCGCGGGGAACTGCGGCGAGGCGCCGCCCATGACCAGCGCGGCGCCGCCCAGCCCCGCCGCGACGAGGCGCTCGCAGACCTGCCGGGGCAGCGCCGCGACCCACGCGGCAGAAGCGACCACGATGCGACCCGGCGACGGCTGCGGCGGAAGGCGCGGGCGCAGGCGGCTCCGACGACGCGCAGCTGCGGGCGAGCCCGCAAGAAACCACGCGGAGACCGCGCCGGCGGCCGCCGCGCGGGGCGCCGCCGCGCGGCCGCAGCTCCGCCTCGCCGAGATCCGCAGCAACACAGGCGCTGCGGGCCGACGGGCCCCGCCCAGACAGAACCTAAAGCCGCGCGGGGAAAGGCCGCGGCGCGCGCGCGGCCAGCCGGCGGTGCAGCCTCGGAGTTACGTGGATAGAGACAAGCAGGCTGGCGGAGCAGGCAACGCCCACGCCGGCCATCAGCGGGGGGGGGCGAGGGGGGGGCGCCGCCCAGAACAAACCCCGGCCGCCCCATTGCCCGCTCGCCCCTGCAGGACCCCTCTCCAGATTTACGGAAAGGAGGGGGGGCCGACGGCGCGAAGCCCAGCGGCTCTCTCACCGACGCGCGCGGGCGCGACCCTGACGCGGGGGA